ATTCTTACTAAAGGAAAACTTCAGGCAAGAAAAGGTCTCAAGATTTCACTGGAATTTGAAGAATAAAAATAAGAATAACTAATAAATGGTAAAAAAGGACTGAGTTACACTTTCTTAAACCAGTAACAAAATAGACATTACTTGCCCCCGTGTAAAACATTTTACAGCTCTGTGTATCTTTTATGTAAAAGACAACCAATGTCTAATCACCAAACATGGTTCAATTAATTAATCACCTATTTTCTCTGTATCGGGAGCTTGACTGGGGAGGACTGTGATTTAGCCTTCTGGAAAACTTCTTCTCTCGTTCTTCCTCTTTTATGATCTGACATACCAAAAATAAAAGGTGTAGAAGATTTAGCAACAGTCATTCCTTACATTGTTACTATTTCAATGACTTAACTGATATTAAAATATAAAAGCAAAATTGCCATTTAAACAAAATACATTTAGTTTAATCACAAAAGAGAGGCATGCTGAAAGTTACAGTGAACCTAAAGAAACTCATAAATGCTTATCTTAGATAATAATTAGTGGAGAAAAAACATTTTAAGCAAGTGTCCTCATTTAAAAATTATTAGTGAAAACCCAACTTTATTCCTCTTTCAAAAGTCCAACATACACTCATGTTTTGGTTCATGGAATTGGTCTGGTACTGAACACATTAGGGAATATATGAGCATACATTAGAACTAACCAAGTCATAAAAAAATAAAACATTTGAGAAAATAACATATAAGATAAAATAGTTCTTCAGTTTCTCATGGTAGTATGGCAGCTATATATTCCTCTTTCCTACAAAAGGCCTCCATTCACATTATATAATTAATAGAAAGCAGCCCTGAAAAACATTCCCTTGTTCAATGCTACTTTGTTTAGGCCAAAATTTTCCATGCTGTACTGCCCAGAACACTGTTTCCATAGCACATTAATAGATGTTACTAGAAAGAAAAGGATTTAGAAGATAAATTCAGAAAATATTGAACGTATGGCTTCTAGAAATATGATAGGCATTAAGATTTGCATTTTTATAAGAACCCTAAGATATTCTGATGTAGGTAGTCTACAGATAATATAAACATGTTCTAGTTTATGCCAGTTGCTCCAGCATCCCTTTGGGTGAAAGCCTCTCACTGTCAAGTGTCCCCATCCTATATAATAAAAGGGTAATGTGCAAATTGACCCAACAGCAGAATGACCTATCGCTATGACACGCACTGACCACCATGGGGCAGACGCTCAATGCAGAAGCTGCTCACTGGTGGTCAGTGCACTCCCACAGGGGGAGTGCCACTGAGCGAGAAGTCGGGCTCATGTCTGGTGAATGCAGCGGCAGTGGCGGGAGCCTCTCCCGCCTCTGCGGCAGCGCTAAGGATGTTCGACTGCCGGCGGCTTAGGCCTCCCTGCAGGAAGCGTCAGTTGGGCATCCCCTGAGGGCTCCCGGACTGTGAGAGGGTGCAGGCTGGGCTGAGGGACCCCTTCCCCACCGCGAGTGCACAATTTCGTGCACCAGGCCTCAGGTTGTATGATAAGTTAAATATGGATATTCTATCAACAGACCAAACTCTGACACTGCTTAAAAATTTTATAACAGTCTGCCCTTTTTTCCCCCTTATTAATACTTTCATTTTCTTGCCATCCATATCAACCCTCCCCCACCAAAAATACTGGGTACAAATAAAACTCTAAGACACTTTTTCCTATTTGCCCCAATGCACACTTGGGAGTAATTTGTGTTGACAGATCATCATACCCCATATACACAATCAACAGTGAACTTTTACTACACCCATAGCATTTTTTATCTAGATTGCCATCTGACATTCTGACAGTTCTTAAAGGGATAAATATCTTTAACAAGGGTGTTTTATGTGTGTCTGTCTGTGTAATTATGTACAAATACATGTGTATAAATATGTTTAGGTATAGAGGCATAAAAATATATTTAAGAATTATTATGTAACATTATATGTGTGTGTGTATATGTATGTATGTATAAATATATGTATGTATAGATATATATATATATAGATATATATAATTGCATAATAAACATGTCTTAGTTATATAATCTGAAGAAGAAAAAAAAAAAAGGTTTATGAGGGGTAAAAAACCCAAAAGTCACAACCACATCTTTCACACAACAATCTCTCAATACTAATAGTAATTACCATTTATTAAAAAACCTACTATGTGCCACATATATACTGGGTGCTTTCTAGATATTATTTAACTACCTCACAATAACCCCATAATATTTCCATTTCACAGCTGAGTAAACTATGGCTTGAAAAAGTCATGTTTTCAAGGTCACAAGGCAGTGACTGTTAAAGCCAACTTTTAATTGTCAATTATTTTTGCTGGAATTACAATCCTTAAATATCAAATTGAGGAGATCTTAATTATTATATGATTATTAAACAAAAATGGTAATCTTGTATAAAAGATGGCTGCTCTGGAGTTTTCCCATAAAAACTCTTAAATTATGAGGTCATTTCTATTGCCCTGTGAAGGTCATTTTATTTAACTACCTTAAAAATAGTTCCCTACAAAATGCTTGTGGAACAGAAACAAACAGATTTACTGTCAATCTAATTATTTTCACAGAACATAGGTAATAAGCGTCCATAGCTATAAGATACTATGCAGAAAAGTTAAAGGCCTGCATGTAAGATAGATCCTTGGCTGGCATCTGTGAACTTTGATTTCTGGAGGGTTCCCATCATTGCCTGATAATAACAGCTCACTTACGCCTGAATTGTCTGTGTATGCAATATGGTTCATAGTGAACACCTGCTTTCCTCCTAGGAATCTAGAACATACTAGGCAGAAGGTACCCAGGTGGCCAAACCTAAGTAAAAGTCCTGGACACTGAGTCTTTAACAAGCTTCCCTGGTTCACACATACTGTCACTACTCCTTAAGCACATCTTAGGTGACTCCACTGGGAGAGAACTCTGAAAGCTTGCACCTGCATCCCCCTAGACTTTGCACCATACACTGTTTTCCCTTCGCTGATTTTGCTTTGTATCCTTTCACTGTAAGAAATCATAACTGTGAGAATGATTATATGCTAAGTCCTGTGAGTGCTCCTAGTGAAATCATTGAACTTTGGGGTGGTCTTGAAGGCTCCTGACACAGATACAGAAAATACAACTCAGTTTAATTATCCCTTATATGTTTTCAAAGAAAATGTAAGGTTTAACACAAATTCTTACCTCGTCTTTTTTTATATCTTTTTCTTGGTGCTGAAAAAATTCCACCTTTAAGCTTCCTGATGATGGCTGCTCTGGGGGAGGTAGGTAACTCTTTGTATTCACAGCATCAAAAAGTTTTTCCACAAATATCTGTGTCTCTAAAAATAAAACAAACCAAAAAATCCCACATATTAAAAGCCATTTGCTAAGATATTATTCTCCACTTAAAACCTTCCTAACCAGTGTGCCATGGCACAGTCCCATGGTAACACCAATATATTCAGTTTTCAGGGTGATGAGGGCTGGAACAGCCAGTTTCTGGGCCAGTCACTTCCAGCCATGACCAGTCTCCATGTACCCTACCAGTGCGCAAACACAGATACTACCATCATCTAGATCACCGGTTCTCAACCTGTGGGTCGCGACCACTTTGGGGGTCGAACGACCCTTTCACAGGGGTCACTTAAGACCATCGGAAAACACATATATAATTACATATTGTTTTGTGATTAATCACTATGCTTTAATTATGTTCAATTTGTAACAATGAAAATACATCCTGAATATCAGATATTTACATTACAATTCATAACAGTAGCAAAATTACAGTTATGAAGTAGCAACGAAAATAATTTTATGGTTGGGGGTCATCACAACATGAGGAACTGTATTAAAGGGTCGCGGCATTAGGAAGGTTGAGAAGCACTGATCTAGATGTTGGCAAGTGAAAAAGCTAAACAGCACTGTGCTAGACAACATTCAAAGTAGATCCCTAAGGAGTACTATCTTTAAATAAACAAGCATACCGTCATTTTCTTAATCTTCAAAGAAAAAATGTCAGCATGATTTAAGAAAAAGCTTAAGAATGGTAATAAGAAAAAAGTCTTTATAAATAAGCTATGGATATAATCAGTAATAAGCTGTGGATATAAATCAGCAATAATATTGATTGTTCATCTTCGTTACAATTAGAGCCTGTCTCTTACTGAGTTCCTTTAATACTACAGATACTTTCTTTTTTAAACTTTTATTAGTGTTTACTTTATGTTGATTTTACTCCTACGCCGTAAGTTTTTGTTTCTTCAGTTTCTTCTGGGATAGTTTTCTTTTGTGCAACCTCCTCTTCTGGTTCTTCTGGTTTAGGAATAATCTGCTTTTTTAAAAATGTTTTAAATATGTTTTTATTGATTTTTTAGAGAGAAAGGAAGGGAGAGGGATAGAGAGATAGAAACATCAATGACAGAGAGACATCAATCAGCTGCCTCATGCACACACCCTACTGGGGAGCTAGCCAGCAACCAGACATGTGCTCTAATATGGAATCAAACTGGTGACCTCTTGGTTCATGGATCGATGCTCAACCACACCGGCTGGGATGGAATAATCTGCTCTTTTTCAGTAAGGATCATCTCAATGTGGCAGGGAAAGCTAATGTATTGGTTAATCTACCCATGAGCTCTGTAAATTCTGCACCACATCTTGGGAGCTTTGTTCACTTGGATGTGCTCAATTACCAGAGAAGCTACATCCAAGCCCTTAAGTTCAGCATTACTCTGCATTTGTAAGCATATGCAGCAAAATTCAGCACTCTTCGGGAAACCGACCCGGTGTCCAGCACACTGTTTGGCCTGGGCACACCTACCAATTCTAATACTATAACAACGGAATGGCACACATTGCTTCTGTAAAGTGACTCCCTTCAGATACCTGATGGCTTTTCGGATATGCATACCCTTGATGGCCTGGACAGTTTCACAAGTCTTCTTAAAGTGAACATGAAGATCTGAACCTCTTGATTTGCATGATTTTGTGAGGTCTTCTGGTCAAGTGAATAGCGAACCATTTTCAGAGGTCACCTCAGACTTCTTTCAAGAACAGCTAGATAATCTTATTTAAATAACATTAAAATAAAGTAGTATTCTTAAACCAAAGATCTTACCTTTTTGAAGAAATACATCCAGTTGATCAATACATAATGCCTTTAATTCTTTTTCACTTTTGTCTTTTTTTACCAAAGCAAGAACATATTTTGCTAGGGCTGATGGATCTGCATCACAGCTGAAGAAAAAAAACAGTGTTGAAGGAAATTTAGCCATAAATAATTGCATATTCTACAAATTCCAGTTACAAGTGGACTTAGTCGGCATAATCAATAGTGACATGAATTAACATAAAAAGCACCTGGCTCATGGAAGGCAATAAAGACATATAAGTTCTGCTTTACATTGTTATACTTTACATAATTTGTACAGTCATTATTTAGTATCCTTCCAAATATATACTAATTTATGTATTGAAAACTCAGTAGTCTTTATTATTATCAAAAAAGATAAATTATAACAAAGTAAAAACAATTGCAAAACATCAAAAACTAATATAATTAGTATGGTATGATAAAAATATCAAAAGGCTTTTTCCTCTCAGAAGTAGATAAATAATAGCTAAGAAAATACTGGAAGAGCACAATAAAGAGAAACTTAAATATATATTACTCGATATATTGTTTTAACAACAGACAAGAAAGTCTGGAAACAGAACCAAACATATATAGTATTTTAGATTTTATAATGGTGGCATTAAAATCAATAAAGATGAGATGAACTAAGCTACCTGTATCTAAATGTCTGACCTAAAGGAATGATAAATGTTATCTATGATAATAAAAGGGTAATACGCTAATTAGACCAGGTCAACCAGCCATCTTCCAGATGTCCGACTTCCTTCCGGACTAAACCATGGTGGTGGGGGCCGAGGCAAAGGCAGTTAGGGGCAAGATCAGGCTGGCAGGGGGTTAGGGGTGAGATCAGGCTGGCAAAGGAGGGCAGTTGGGGTAACCAGGCCAGCAGGGGAGGGCAGCTGGGGCCTTAGACAGGCAGGCAGGTGAGTGGTTAGGAGCCAGTGGTCCTGGATTGCGAGAAGGATGTCTGACTGCCGTTTTAGACCTGATCCCGGCAGTCGGACATCCCCCGAGGAGTCCCAGATTGGAGAGGGTGCAGGCTGGGTTGAGGGACACCCCGTCCCCCGTGCACAAATTTCGTGCACCATGCCTCTAGTGAGATGATAAATGTCTGCTGGGCTACTAAGTTCATTTTCAGGGTAATTTGTTACTTATCCTAAGTCACCTTCTCATAGACCTACTACTATTTATTTGCGAAGACTTGAAGTAAGTTATAACCTAAACAAAAAACAAGGGGGCAAAAATATTATTTCAATGTTACATGAGAGATTTTAAAAAACTTTTTCTTCATAATTTACTTCAATATAGTTACTTATACCAACGTTTTTTAAATGCAGACAAAATAATTTATGATAAATTAATATTTTCCCATTTAATTATAATGAGCACAGAAATATTTAGATCTGTGATAAAATAAGCATGAAGAAATGTGACAACCACCTCATGAAGTATTTATAGATATACTTATATTTGGCAATCTGGTATTACTGCATGAGAAACCATAAAACAATACTTATGCATGTTAGGTAACTTGAATAAACACAATCAACTAAGCATTAACCTAACTAGACATCAAGCTAAACATACTTCAGTTTACTAGAAATCACTAATACTATATCACAATGTTATATTGTTTTATTGCAGTTGCTGTTAATAAAAAATTCAGTCTCTACATTGAATCTAAATGCTATAATTTGATTCAAAACTGGTTTGTTGTGAATTTTCAATTTAATAATGCCTTTCTAATAATGAAACTGTCAGTTTACATTTCTCTAAACTGAACACCAAATCTATTCTATTCCCACCCTGTTTTCAAAGGATTAAGTCGTCAGCATCTAAAAATCTGGAGAAAGACCTTTGTGATTTTTATAATTATTATGGTCTATAGACTACAGTTTTATAAAATAGTAAGACAAAATTCCCAATCTTTGCTCAACAACTTTGAATAAAATTTAGAATAAAAGTCACAACCACAACAAATCAACTATTATACACAAAAAAATTTAAGTACCTGAGATAGCCTGAAAGGCAGACTACCTTTTAAAATTTGTTAGATTGCAAATTATAACCTAGAAGATTTGTAATTTCACACTTAACAGCAAAACAGGTAAATCTGTATTTGATAAGCAATTTTTCTTAAGTCCTATAAGAAAGCATTTTATTTGTATTTCAATTATTTTGGGTTTTTTGTGTGTTTTTTATCTTTATTGTTGACAAAAAAAGGTATGTGCTTGCAAATTATAGCTTAGTAAAAAATAATCTGAACTATGAACATTTAATAATATACCAAAATGGTATGTATCAGGAACAGGCAAAATGTGTTCTCTTTTCTATTTGTCTTAATTAAAAGTGCCAATGCTGCATCATATCAACATCTAGCAATGATAACCTACTATGCAAAATAAATGATGTAAAAAAAAAGTCTAAATAACCTAATCAAAAGAATCACATTCACATAATAAGGGGTTAGTTACTTTTTAAAAATGTCTCCATGGCAAGCAAGATTGATTATTCATTAAGTACTTTACTAAATTAGCTGCTACTGATAATAGGTTTGTGGTGTGAATGATACATATCTTGTCAGAGCTACACTTTACCCTCTTCTACACTGCTAGCATTCTGGAAACATGTGAAAGAAAAAAAGGGGGGGGGGGAGGCTGAAATCTTCTTTCAGATCAGAAAACAATCAGATTTGAAAATGCGTAAGGACAAAGGAATACTGAAAGAGTGGCAAACTGCATTCCCACCTCAGAAAGCATGCCAAATTCCCACTGATTCTATATTTCATAAGCACTTAGCCCAGCAAAAACATAATCTTCCAATAAAGCATGAGTCTAACTCAGAGTAGTGAATGTGTGTGTGTATTGGGGGGGGGGGGGGGGGGGGGGGGGGGGGGGGGGAAAACATAAAGAAACTGCAAAATAAGGCAGGCATGAGACATGACATACCAATAGCATTTGTGACAGGTGAGGTGGAGGGGGGAGCAACTAAGTATTTTAGTTAATAGTAAGTCAAGTGAGACAAGGTGTGAAATGGTTGGGAGAAAACTTAAATCATAAAGATGCAATAAAAATAGAACACTGAGAACTTCCAAGGAAACAGTGCAGTGCAGTTCTCTTTTGCAGTAGGGAGTGCTTTCACTTATAGGTGCCAACTTTTATAAATATATAAACAAATTCAAACAGATTCATAGAAAAAGACCAGAATGGTAAACGGTCAGATAGCTTACTTAGGGATTCTCAGGAAAATTGAAATGTCAGAGAGAACTTTGTAGGCTTTCAAATAATTAAGGGGCTATCACAAGAAAGGATTACATTTATTCACTATATCCTCCATGGGATATAATTAGAACTAGTAAATGAAAGCAACCATTTTTGGCTTAAAATAGAGACAGACTTTAAAAAACAATAATCAGAGGCCTCCCACAGGCAGAATAAACTGTCTGAGAGAAAGTGAGTTCTCCATCATTAGAATGGTTTCAAGCAAAGGCTGAATAGCCCCTGGCAGATAAGTACTAGATTGGATGGTAAATCCCTCACAAATCTGAGAGAGCATAATCCCTAGGTTAATTTTGTTCATGGGATATTGTGCAGCTATATAAAATATAAGATAATGCAGTATTCTTTTTAATTACTAATCTATAAATATTAGTAAAATGTTTAAAGTTATACAACACTATAAAGTACACCTTATGTAAGATAGTTTTATCAAAAATATCAAAATCTAAAAACAGAACTTTTTACTCATGAGTGTAGCCTCTGGGTCTAACACAGTACCTGAGACAGAATAAGTAAATACATTTATTATCTCCTAAATACCACATTTATCTTTCAAAAGTATTTAATAAGCACCTACTATGTCAGACACTGTTCTATATCTTGAGGATACAACTTTAAAAAAAATAAAGTTCCTGTCCTCAAGGAATTTAGGGGGTAGGTATAAGGAGGAGACAGACAATGCATACATACATATAAATAATGTAATGTCATGTAGACAAGTGCTCTAAAGAAAAATAATACAATGTAAAGGGACAGAGTATAGAAGAAAAAGAATGAAGGGAAGGAAGAAGGAAAAAAAGAAAAGAGAATAAATGAATGAATATATCTTAGGTAAGATCATCAATAAAGGTCCCTGATGAAATGACATTTAAACAGGGATCAAAATGGAGTGCAAGGGTAACTTAGGCCAAGGCACCCTACAGAAAAGGCTTGACGTGGGTGCCTACTTGATACATGAGGAACAAGAGTTCAGTGGGATTGGGCAAAGTGGGCATTCATAAACATTTGAATTTCTAATTTCTCTTCTCTGTTAGGATTAAAAATTAATGGCTTCAATGAACTTTGACAAATTTAATGTCCAGATTGCTATGAAGTCATTCAAATCAATGATTTTGAAGGCATAAATATAAAATTTTATCAATCTCTGAATATACTGTGTTAAGGATACAACTAATAATAATGGCCTTGAAATGCATAGGGGTGACAATCTAAGAGGGTCATTCTCTTCCAACTGTTAGTACACACACTAAATAAGTTGGAGAAGCCAAAGCAACGCAAAAATCAAATGTTATTAAGTCTCTCCCCCAAAATAAATTTTCTTAATACTTTAAATAACACAAATCAAATAAGCCCTAATATAAATGTTAAAATTATTGTTAATACACTCATCATATTAATTTTTACTTTTTAATTTAGAACTTTCAAAATAGTAACAAAACAGTAAAGTAAAAAATTAAAAATTAAAAAGCTAACATTCCAGTACAATGTTTTAAAAAACTATTTTGTTTTGCTCAAGTTTCTTAGAGGCTTTAGAAATTCAGAGGAAGATAACTGTTAAAATTTAACCCAAGCTTCTATTTTCAGTAATCTTGAGAGAAGGAGCTAGAGGTGGCAGTGGGAATTTAAAATTAAATTCAAATATGTTAACTCAGTAACTTCAGAACATGAATACACCCACGTCTGTTCCAACAAAATTTCCACTTTATATTCAGGAAAAATATCTCATTTGCATCAGCCATGGTTCTATTATTCTGTACTTAGACTACTCTTTTAAAAATTCAAATTCCATTGCGACAAATATAACATATACATTAAAAAATGCT